TCATTGAGCCTATTTCATCCATGATTACATTGAGGCTAACTAATTCTTTGTATATGTCCTCTGTTCGGGGATGAGACTTGTCACTGCAAAAAAACTGACAGATCTGACCATTCATCTCAATCCAACTACATGCCAACTCTTTCTTCAATTGAAGTTGCTTCAATACTGCTCTAATATGTGCTGCTTCCTTCCACAAACCTCTCGAAGCATATATATTTGATAGGAGTACATACATCCCAACATTACAAGGTTGAACACTTAGAAGTTTTAGTGCTACAAATTCACCTAGCTCAAAATTTTCATGGACTCTACAAGAACTAAGTAATGATTCCCAAGCATGTGCTGGGAGATCCACTGGTAATTGTTTAACTAACTCAAAGGCTTCAGCCAGCAATCCTGATCTACCAAGTAGATCAACTATGCAGGCATAATGCTCTGGTTTTGGTGTCAAATTCCAGTTCATCTTCATAGAGTTGAAGTGTTTCCAGCTCTCATCGACTAGTCCTGAATGAGCACAGGCAGTCAAGAGTCCCAGAAAAGTTACATGGTCAGGTTCTAATCCACCTCGAATCATAGAAGAGAAGAGATTGAGGGTGTCTACAGCAGAACCATGGTATGCCTGTGCCACAATCATGGCATTCCAAGCAACTATATCACGATCAGTTATCCTTTCAAATGCAGCAGCAGCATATTTCAAGAAGCCACATCTAGAATACATAGATACTAATGAACTCATTACCATTGTATCATTTTCATAACCAATCTTAATGACATGGAGATGCACTGCTCTTCCCCAACCATGTACAGAAAGCACACCACATACCGAGATTACACTAGTAAAGGTTCCTTGATCAGGCTTAAATCCACTTTGCCACATGTGGACATATAAAACTAAAGCTTTCTCGCTTTGATATCCAACAATCATTATGTTCCATGAGGTTTCATCTTTTTGGGGCATTGCTTCAAAAAATTTGCAAGCATTAATCATATCATCTTGTTGCACATATCCCTGCAATACTGAATTCCATGACACTGTATCCCTCCTTGGCATCTGCATGAACAATTCAAGAGCATCTTCAACCCTTCCATTCTGAATACAACCATCAATCATTGAGTTCCATGCAACAATGTCTTTATGAGGCATCTCATTAAATAATTCCCTAGCATCTGCAATACGACCATTCTGCAAATAAGCCCGCATCATTGTTGTCCAAGCCACCACATCCTTTTCCGGCATCTCCTGAAACAAGCTCCTAGCTCTCTCCACCTGCCCTCCATTTGAAAAACACTTTATCATACTAGTCCAAGAAGCCACATCACGTTGAGGCATTATAACAAATAACTCGTAAGAATCCTCAACATATCCCATTTCAGCATAACCGGCCAACATAGCATTATAAACCAAGACACTTTTTTTTGAAGCACGATCAAACAACTTCTTGGCTTCACTTACAAGGCCATATCTAAAATACCCTTCAATTATAGTCACCCATGACACAGAATTCTTAACAGGCATTGCCTCAAACAATTTTCTAGCCTCTCTAATTTCTCCATTTCTTACATACCCAGATATCATTGAATTCCAACAAACAACATTCTTGCTATCTATCTTCTCAAACAAAACTCGCGCCTCTTCCAACATTCCACATTTTGCGTACCCACTTAACATAGCAGTCCAAGAAACAATATTTCTACCGGGCACAGCATCAAATACCTTGCGTGCCTCACGAATCATCCCATTCCTAACGTACCCAGATATCATACAATTCCAAGTCACCACATTCTTCTGGGGAGTTTCATCGAACACACGGCGTGCAGTTTCTATATCCCCCAGTTTGGAACATCTTGTGATTCTTGAGTTGCAAACATATAATGGGTTTGTATTCGAACACAAATTACGACAAACAGGAAAATTTCTAACGTCGACAAAACCAGTAAATGACTTCAATTTGTGCCGTACATGCATTAACCCAATGCTCAGCTTGGTTGCTGAGATAATGAAGAGGAAAATAAAATAAATGCTCAGTTTTCCCAAGAAACAACCGGAGGGTTTGATGCTTTTTTAAATAATTCAGTGTCCGTTAACCTATGCGGGACGGTCTCTTTGCTGGGTTTATAATGAGTATGTAATGCTCCTAAACACTCGAGTGAAATAATTTTATGTACATGAGGTTATTGAAATTAGGGTGGTAATTTGTATAGTATCGTTCGCGTGTTGGAATTTTGTGTAATATTCGTGTCAAAATCTATGAATAAAAATTTATTTAATATGTTCCAAATATCAAACATTAATTTAAACTATTTATTATGTGTACTTAATAATCGTGACAATTATAGAATCGTATTGTATTGAATTTGTGTTAACGGATCAGAATTGACGCCTTAATTTGAAACCCGCGTGAGAGGTGTTATTCAAATGGGTGAATTAGAATTAGCATTAAAATTATTAATTTAATTTTATATGACATCATGAGACCTACATGTTTTTTCTACTCTTGTTCAACCAATTCTCAAACATGCCATAGAGTAAAAATATATCACATTCCTATCCAAACTTATCCCGAAAGGGAAAGTTTATTGTACNCTGTGCCACAATCATGGCATTCCAAGCAACTATATCACGATCAGTTATCCTTTCAAATGCAGCAGCAGCATATTTCAAGAAGCCACATCTAGAATACATAGATACTAATGAACTCATTACCNCTTCGGTATCATACCACTATTTATTATTTTTATGGTAAAATTAAAACTCAAAAAGGAGAATATACAACTATTTAGGAGAAGTTTATGATCAATCAAAGGGACCACGATCGATCACAGATACATATAAACGGTCATAAACTTCACCTGAGAAATTGTAACTTCTCCCTTATGAGTTGTAAGTTGACCTTTAAAAGTTGTAACTTCGTTATCAATCTCAATCTATCGTGACCTTTAAAAGTTATACTTTACACCTCAAAAAAGTTGTAACTTAACNCCATTGTATCATTTTCATAACCAATCTTAATGACATGGAGATGCACTGCTCTTCCCCAACCATGTACAGAAAGCACACCACATACCGAGATTACACTAGTAAAGGTCCCTTGATCAGGCTTAAATCCACTTTGCCACATGTGGACATATAAAACTAAAGCTTTCTCGCTTTGATATCCAACAATCATTATGTTCCATGAGGTTTCATCTTTTTGGGGCATTGCTTCAAAAAATTTGCAAGCATTAATCATATCATCTTGTTGCACATATCCCTGCAATACTGAATTCCATGACACTGTATCCCTCCTTGGCATCTGCATGAACAATTCAAGAGCATCTTCAACCCTTCCATTCTGAATACAACCATCAATCATTGAGTTCCATGCAACAATGTCTTTATGAGGCATCTCATTAAATAATTCCCTAGCATCTGCAATACGACCATTCTGCAAATAAGCCCGCATCATTGTTGTCCAAGCCACCACATCCTTTTCCGGCATCTCCTGAAACAAGCTCCTAGCTCTCTCCACCTGCCCTCCATTTGAAAAACACTTTATCATACTAGTCCAAGAAGCCACATCACGTTGAGGCATTATAACAAATAACTCGTAAGAATCCTCAACATATCCCATTTCAGCATAACCGGCCAACATAGCATTATAAACCAAGACACTTTTTTTTGAAGCACGATCAAACAACTTCTTGGCTTCACTTACAAGGCCATATCTAAAATACCCTTCAATTATAGTCACCCATGACACAGAATTCTTAACAGGCATTGCCTCAAACAATTTTCTAGCCTCTCTAATTTCTCCATTTCTTACATACCCAGATATCATTGAATTCCAACAAACAACATTCTTGCTATCTATCTTCTCAAACAAAACTCGCGCCTCTTCCAACATTCCACATTTTGCGTACCCACTTAACATAGCAGTCCAAGAAACAATATTTCTACCGGGCACAGCATCAAATACCTTGCGTGCCTCACGAATCATCCCATTCCTAACGTACCCAGATATCATACAATTCCAAGTCACCACATTCTTCTGGGGAGTTTCATCGAACACACGGCGTGCAGTTTCTATATCCCCCAGTTTGGAACATCTTGTGATTCTTGAGTTGCAAACATATAATGGGTTTGTATTCGAACACAAATTACGACAAACAGGAAAATTTCTAACGTCGACAAAACCAGTAAATGACTTCAATTTGTGCCGTACATGCATTAACCCAATGCTCAGCTTGGTTGCTGAGATAATGAAGAGGAAAATAAAATAAATGCTCAGTTTTCCCAAGAAACAACCGGAGGGTTTGATGCTTTTTTAAATAATTCAGTGTCCGTTAACCTATGCGGGACGGTCTCTTTGCTGGGTTTATAATGAGTATGTAATGCTCCTAAACACTCGAGTGAAATAATTTTATGTACATGAGGTTATTGAAATTAGGGTGGTAATTTGTATAGTATCGTTCGCGTGTTGGAATTTTGTGTAATATTCGTGTCAAAATCTATGAATAAAAATTTATTTAATATGTTCCAAATATCAAACATTAATTTAAACTATTTATTATGTGTACTTAATAATCGTGACAATTATAGAATCGTATTGTATTGAATTTGTGTTAACGGATCAGAATTGACGCCTTAATTTGAAACCCGCGTGAGAGGTGTTATTCAAATGGGTGAATTAGAATTAGCATTAAAATTATTAATTTAATTTTATATGACATCATGAGACCTACATGTTTTTTCTACTCTTGTTCAACCAATTCTCAAACATGCCATAGAGTAAAAATATATCACATTCCTATCCAAACTTATCCCGAAAGGGAAAGTTTATTGTACTGTCTTCGGTATCATACCACTATTTATTATTTTTATGGTAAAATTAAAACTCAAAAAGGAGAATATACAACTATTTAGGAGAAGTTTATGATCAATCAAAGGGACCACGATCGATCACAGATACATATAAACGGTCATAAACTTCACCTGAGAAATTGTAACTTCTCCCTTATGAGTTGTAAGTTGACCTTTAAAAGTTGTAACTTCGTTATCAATCTCAATCTATCGTGACCTTTAAAAGTTATACTTTACACCTCAAAAAAGTTGTAACTTAACTTTAAATTGTTGTAAATTTCGGTACGAAACCTCATTTAATACCGTGGCCTTTCCCATCTTAAACACCCAATTGCAGGAATTTCGATTGGACAACATCTTTTATTTTTTACTAATAAAAACGTGACAAATATAAATTTCTCTTATTTCAATATTTTATTTATTTTCTTAATCAATGGCTAAAAATTGAATCAAGCGAAGATTTGAAGAACTATAACCACAATTTTTTTTTTTCAGTATTATATCTAAAAAGCATTTTTTTAAAAAATATAGTACCACCAAAAAAAAAAAAAAACAAAGAAACATTCCGGTAGCATAGTCTAATTCTTTGAGGAAGGGATCTAATTTCACTTGACATTTGCTTTGAGCCTTAGCCGGCCTATTCAAAATTATTTCCGACTCCAACCACAATAATTCATTCTACTTCATTATGAACACGTATGTTACCAATCTATTATAACTTATCATTTAATTAAGAGGTGTCAACTCTAACTCATTGATACGAACTCGACATAAATTTGACACACACGATTATTAAATACACATAATAAATAGTCTAAACTAATGTTTAATACTCAGAACATACTAAATAGAATTTTGTTTCGCAAATCTTGACATGAACACCACACGAATAATAATGTCCAACACGAAAATACATTACACACAAGAGTCACACGAATACGAACACGACACGATTAAGCGCTTACTCTAATATGATAGTTACCATTGGTAGTGGTCAACAATTATTAGAATAGTGGGGTCCAATAGACCTATATGGTAAGTCATAATTGATTAGTGATATCATATGTTAATGAGATAGTATCATTATATTGAGTTTTTTTTTTCTGAACCATTATAATTTAAAAAAAAATTAGTTTGAGAGGTATATTTTCGTTAGATTGCATAAAATATAGGACTATTATGATATANTGCGTGCCTCACGAATCATCCCATTCCTAACGTACCCAGATATCATACAATTCCAAGTCACCACATTCTTCTGGGGAGTTTCATCGAACACACGGCGTGCAGTTTCTATATCCCCCAGTTTGGAACATCTTGTGATTCTTGAGTTGCAAACATATAATGGGTTTGTATTCGAACACAAATTACGACAAACAGGAAAATTTCTAACGTCGACAAAACCAGTAAATGACTTCAATTTGTGCCGTACATGCATTAACCCAATGCTCAGCTTGGTTGCTGAGATAATGAAGAGGAAAATAAAATAAATGCTCAGTTTTCCCAAGAAACAACCGGAGGGTTTGATGCTTTTTTAAATAATTCAGTGTCCGTTAACCTATGCGGGACGGTCTCTTTNTAATATATTAAATACCATAAATACTCTATTAAATGTGAACCCCACATTATTTTCTTTGTTAGATGAAAGAAGTAAAAAAATGTGAATCCCACGTGTTTTCTATTTATCCAAAAGGGTAAGCCAACATCCATTTGGAAGGCATAAAAGTAATTCAACAAATGTGATCATTATGTCCACCTTCTCTCTCCACTATTTCGCCCATATTTGGGCGGATTGAATTTGGTGGGCATGAGGTATAGGCTTTCCTCCTCTTTTCTTTTCTCTCTCTTTTTACTTTTTCAACCAAACAAAAGAAAATATCAATTTCCTTCTTATTTTTCATCTAACCTTTTTCTATCCATCCATTTTCCTTCATACCAAAAGACTATTAATATTATTACCATAATTTCAGGGGTGGCTTCCATTGGAACCAACAATTGGTATAAGCCTCACTCTTCTTTCAACGATCACTTGTTCAAATTTATTTGCATGAACCAACTGTTATTGAGAAGGAGTTGAATATTCACTCGCACCTCGGTGGGACTGTCATGATAAGCTCCACCCTTATTAGGTCAATAGCTATGATTTAAACTAAATATTTTACGATGAATGAAAACCTCTTTGGTTACGCCTAAAAAGTTTGCTACTCTGGTTGTCCTTTCCTGCCTTTTTTGGAAGCAAAAAAAAAAAATAGCAAGAGAAGCATATAGTCTTGTGTTTTTTACTTCGATTGTGAGGAATTACTAGGAACACTCCCGACAGTCTCAAAGTTTGTTATCTCTTACCTTTTACGTCTTTAGCAACATTTCCAAACTCAAGGGTGTTCTAATGGGCCTTTGGTCCAATAATACTCCTTACCTTGTGAAGACTTTGCCTTCTTGAAATCAAGGGTTCAAGTCCCTCTACCAAAAAAAAAAATATATAATTTCCACAAACACCAAACCAAAAACATAGAAACAAAAGACCATGACCTGTTAAAAGCATCTGTTTAACGACTTCTATTTTCTTTGGCAGATGATGTTCGAACCCGTGACCTAAAGGTCTAACGGTGAAAACAATCTCTGTTTAATGACTACAAACAACAAAAAATAATCCAAATTTGTCCTACATTACACAAAACATAATTGAACCCCAATAGATAGTTCACTGATATCAGAGACAAACTGTAAACTCAGATATTCTGAATTCGAAACTTTACAACCCCTTAAGCCTAGGCCATGATGAATTTATCCTCATGAATATCCTAATTTTGACATTGATGACCAACTTTTGACCAGACCGAAAAGAAGATTAGTCGAAGTGCGCGTAAACTGACCACTGACCATTGAACCCAAAAAAAAAAACGAAGCATAATTGCTTGGCCTGATTTTCTTATACAAAATGCAGTCTGGGTGATTACATTAGCAAATATGTAATGGGTGTATCGACATATGCAAAGGAAATTAGTCAGATGCTCTAAGAGATCCAAATTTCGAAAAGTATAATATCATTAAATTGAAATGCACTGTCTAGCCACAACATTTTCTTTTAATACCTGAAAGAATATCAGTTAACTACAACTGTTTCTTTCCACCAAGGATTGTAACCAAATCAACATACTGCTACAAATTACAAACAGAACCCTATAACTAGACAATGACACCCCCCCCCCCCCCCCACAAAAAANTATTTTCTTTGTTAGATGAAAGAAGTAAAAAAATGTGAATCCCACGTGTTTTCTATTTATCCTAAAGGGTAAGCCAACATCCATTTGGAAGGCATAAAAGTAATTCAACAAATGTGATCATTATGTCCACCTTCTCTCTCCACTTTTTCGCCCATATTTGGGCGGATTGAATTTGGTGGGCATGAGGTATAGGCTTTCCTCCTCTTTTCTTTTCTCTCTCTTTTTACTTTTTCAACCAAACAAAAGAAAATATCAATTTCCTTCTTATTTTTCATCTACCCTTTTTCTATCCATCCATTTTCCTTCATACCAAAAGACTATTAATATTATTACCATAATTTCAGGGGTGGCTTCCATTGGAACCAACAATTGGTATAAGCCTCACTCTTCTTTCAACGATCACTTGTTCAAATTTATTTGCAATAGTAGTTGCATGAACCAACTGTTATTGAGAAGGAGTTGAATATTCACTCGCACCTCGGTGGGACTGTCATGATAGGCTCCACCCTTATTAGGTCAATAGCTATGATTTAAACTAAATATTTTACGATGAATGAAAACCTCTTTGGTTACGCCTAAAAAGTTTGCTACTCTGGTTGTCCTTTCCTGCCTTTTTTGGAAGCAAAAAAAAAAATAGCAAGAGAAGCATATAGTCTTGTGTTTTTTACTTCGATTGTGAGGAATTACTAGGAACACTCCCGACAGTCTCAAAGTTTGTTATCTCTTACCTTTTACGTCTTTAGCAACATTTCCAAACTCAAGGGTGTTCTAATGGGCCTTTGGTCCAATAATACTCCTTACCTTGTGAAGACTTTGCCTTCTTGAAATCAAGGGTTCAAGTCCCTCTACAAAAAAAAAAAAATGTAATTTCCACAAGCACCAAACCAAAAACATAGAAACAAAAGACCATGACCTGTTAAAAACATATGTTTAACGACTTCTTTTTTCTTTGACAGATGATGTTCGAACTCGTGACCTAAAGATCTAATGGTGAAAACGATCTCTGTTTAATGACTACAAACAACAAAAAATAATCCAAATTTGCCCTACATTACACAAAACATAATTGAACCCCAATAGATAGTTCAACTGATATCAAAGACAAACTGTAAACTCAAATATTCTGAATTCGAAACTTTACAACCCCTTAGGCCTAGGCCATGATGAATTTATCCTCATGAATATCCTAATTTTGACATTGATGACCAACTTTTGACCAGACCGAAGAGAAGATTAGTCGAAGTACGCGTAAACCGACCCCTGACCATTAAACCCAAAAAAAAAAAAAAAGCATAATTGCTTGGCCTGATTTTCTTATACAAAATGCAGTCTGGGTGATTACANCAGGTAAGTTGAGGTGGGTGTTGTGAGCAAAGGGCTTGATTTCACTGGAACTTTGATTGAGGCTTGCTGGCATATGAACTGACTGTTCAAAGCATGCATACATTTAAAAATATTGGTCTACAGTTACAAAGCTGCTGCCATGAGATACCAAAACACAGTTGTTCAAAGACTATAGTCCAAACTTGTCTACTTCTAACTGTAACATCACTCTCGATTGATATCCTATTGCTCTGACTCATTGGTGCAGTAATAACAACAACAATTCTGACCCTGCTGATTTCTAGAGAACAAGAACAAGAGAACATGCGACCTACTATGAATTCTGTCTTGTTATCTAACAAAGTAAGCGAATCTATAGGCATATAACGTTATAAACTAATATTCCAAAAATAAAAAGACAAGAAGCTATTGAAAAAGATGTGTCTATAAAGGATCCAAGCCATCACAGTTTGCTTATCAAGACATCATGGCAGAAGAAGTGAAGGTTTTCAGGACATGGTCAAGTCCATTTGCCCTGAGGATTGTTTGGGCACTGAAACTTAAGGGCATAGAATTTGAGACCATATTTTAGGATCTTGACAACAAGGGCCCTCTCCTCCACCAATACAATCCTGTTCACAAACAAGTTCCAGTGCTTGTGCACAATGGAAAGCCAATCTCATAATCATTTTTAATTCTAGAGTATATTGAAGAAACATGGAAGCAAAATCCCTTACTACCTGAAGATCCCTATGAGAAAGCTACAGCACGTTTCTGGGCAAAATTCAACGATGAAAATGTAAACAAACACAGTTCTCATACAGATATAGGTTGACTTGCCCTGAACAAGAAATAACAATCAAGGCTTTGATATATTTGCTTAAGTTCAATTTCATAATTAACATCTCTCATGTTAATGAGTACACTTCAATGAGGGAGGGTGGACCAGATATCAACCTAATTTTACAATTTCAAATGAATTGGTATCCTCAAATTTAAACCCACAACATTACGGTTGTTGATCTGACACTTTTACTACTGCACTAGGCAACCTATTTCATTACAACTTAGTTCATTACATAAACTTCTTGCATATAAACAAAAAGATTGTCGAGTACACAAAACGAATGCCTATAGCAGCTGGGAGAGAGGGTTGTAGGTTGTCTAACACCGGCCGACTTTCGAACTTGAACCCACAAAGACTCATATGGGCAGATTAGTACTTACCATCTTTCCAGATCCGACTTCTAGGGGTTGAAATCTTTGAAATCATACTCTATGATTGACATTTCTAACGAGCTCACAAAGTTACCTATGTTTTTCTCTTGAATGCCACTTTTGCCTTCAGTATGGCAGACTTTCATTAAACAAGGAACAAAGCAAGAAGAGGCAATTGATCCAGCTATGGAGAACCTGAAATTGGTAGAAGAGCAGCTGAAGGGGAAGATTTTCTTTGGTGGAGAGAAAATTGATTTTCTGGATCTAGCATTTGGTTGGATAGCTAATTTCATTAGTGTCCTACAAGAGGTAACTGGTCAAAAGGTGATTGACTCGGAGAAATTTCCACTTTTATCAGCATGGATGGAGAAGTTTTCAGATGATCCAGTAATCAATGAATGCGGGCAACCTCGAGATAGGTTAAGTACTAAGTTCAAAGCAATGCGTGAGGCATGCCTCGCAGCGGCTACACCTAAATGATCCACTTCCTCAAGCTATTTCAAAACCTTGAAGTAGGGCTATCAATGGATCGTGTTGTGTTTTTTTCCCCGATCTCAACTTTCCANGAATGCCTATAGCAGCTGGGAGAGAGGGTTGTAGGTTGTCTAACACCGGCCGACTTTCGGACTTGAACCCACAAAGACTCATATGGGCAGATTAGTACTTACCATCTTTCCAGATCCGACCTCTAGGGGTTGAAATCTTTGAAATCATACTCTATGATTGACATTTCTAACGAGCTCACAAAGTTACCTATGTTTTTCTCTTGAATGCAACTTTTGCCTTCAGTATGGCAGACTTTCATTAAACAAGGAACAAAGCAAGAAGAGGCAATTGATCCGGCTATGGAGAACCTGAAATTGGTAGAAGAGCAGCTGAAGGGGAAGATTTTCTTTGGTGGAGAGAAAATTGATTTTCTGGATCTAGCATTTGGTTGGATAGCTAATTTCATTAGTGTCCTACAAGAGGTAACTGGTCAAAAGGTGATTGACTCGGAGAAATTTCCACTTTTATCAGCATGGATGGAGAAGTTTTCAGATGATCCAGTAATCAATGAATGCGGGCAACCTCGAGATAGGTTAAGTACTAAGTTCAAAGCAATGCGTGAGGCATGCCTCGCAGCGGCTACACCTAAATGATCCACTTCCTCAAGCTATTTCAAAACCTTGAAGTAGGGCTATCAATGGATCGTGTTGTGTTTTTTTCCCCGATCTCAACTTTCCAATTAAATCTGTGTTCTTTTGGTGTTTGTGTTTTTGAGTCTAAGTTTTCTCGTTCTCTTGTTATCGCCTATTGGATGGAATTTAATTCCTAGCAGAGGGCTCGTAGAATTCTTTGAACAAAGATCCAATGATAAACCTCCCCACTAAAGATGATGTGCTTCAGTGTGTGCACATGAGGCAGGTTAAGTACCAAGTTCAAAGCAATGCGTGAGGCATACCTCGCGGCGGTTGCACCTAAATGATCCACTTCCTCAAGCTATTTCAAAACCTTGAAGTAGGGCTATCAATGGATCATGTCATGTTTTTTTCCCCGATCGCAAGTTTCCAGTTAAATCTGTGTTCTTGTGGTGTTTGTGTTTTTGAGTCTTAGTTTTCTCGTTCTCTTGTTATCGCCTATTGGATGGAATTTAATTCCTAGCAGAGGGCTCGTAGAATTCTTTGAACAAAGATCCAATGATAAACCTCCCCACTAAAGATGATGTGCTTCAGTGTGTGCACATGAGGCAGGTTAAGTACCAAGTTCAAAGCAATGCGTGAGGCATACCTCGCGGCGGTTGCACCTAAATGATCCACTTCCTCAAGCTATTTCAAAACCTTGAAGTAGGGCTATCAATGGATCATGTCATGTTTTTTTCCCCGATCGCAAGTTTCCAGTTAAATCTGTGTTCTTGTGGTGTTTGTGTTTTTGAGTCTTAGTTTTCTCGTTCTCTTGTTATCGCCTATTGGATGGAATTTAATTCCTAGCAGAGGGCTCGTAGAATTCTTTGAACAAAGATCCAATGATAAACCTCCCCACTAAAGATGATGTGCTTCAGCGTGTGCACTTTCCTTGAAGGACTTTACTTGAAATTATGTAGTAGAGGGTCCTATCTTTGGTGTTTTCAAAGAATAACTGGCACGACTGATAATCTCATTATCCAACAAGTTTGAGTGAGCACCACGGGTTCTATTTTCCCCGATTGATTCATATCGAACAATGCACATTCTGTTTATTTGCATTTTCTGATCTCCATTAGTGCCATTTTATTTGCATTTTTCAAAAATAAAAACTAAATGTTATTACATACAGCATAGAAAAGCATAACATTTTGGTATGGTAAGACAAGTTTAAGCATCAACATTGTTCATGGCTAAAGTCCTAGTAGACTCCAGATACATTGATAAGGCATGTTTTGAACAAGATCAAAATTCCATCTCGGTGTATTGTTTCGGTCACCTAGGAAATAGAAACGTTTCGAAAACATAATGAAAACGAATAAAAATATTGAGAATTTATATCCAAAATATTTTGAAACATTGATTGAAATAGATCAAAACGTCTCAAAACATTCCGAAACAATTATGGAAACATGCTGAAACATCTCAAAACATTCTGAAAAACATTGGAGCTTCAATTCCATAACTAATTCATTTTGATCTCCTGGAAAATGGAAACATTTCGGACGTTTTAAAACAAAATTTTGATCCTTGGTTCTGAACAAAGCAAGCTGAATATAACAAATCATACTGCAATTTGGATGTGATCATACACATAGTTAGGTACCATTAATTTGCTTCATTCCTAAAGCAGGAAACAGACTGCAATAGTAACAACATAAACCAAACCCTATCTCACCTTTTCACAGGACAAAAATGAAAGAGACGAATGCAGCAAAAAATTGTAGAACTATAGTTGAGAGCATCTGTCATATTTATCCGTAAGATGAATATGCATCACTGCCTTAATGCTACACTATGCAAAAGATCAAAAGAATTCTCATTTTTACCTAATGGGTTATGCGACAAAAGAATTGTTGCCTGCAAAACATTGACAGAGAAGAGTACAATTTATCTATTGCACCCCATTCCTTAGTCCACCTCTTTTATTTTACTCCAAACTAATTTTAAAAGCTTTACAAGAGGAAGAAAAATAAATATCAAACAGCAAAACAGTAACAGGACAAATGACACAACGACACAATATTGGTTGCCAGGCAGAACTTTTCCAGAAAAGGAAACAAATACTGCATGAATGAAACAAACCAGTACCTGCCATACTTTTTTTCTCATCCCCACCCTTCATCAATTAGTCACGCTTACTTGATTAGTGGCTTTGCATAAAGTCTTCAGCTTTTGGTGGAAGTCCTTCCCTACAACAATCTACCTCAAATCATGAACAAATCTCACCTGCAATACCAAAAGTTGGAAATATTCCAGGCACCAGATGCTAATATGAAAAATTTCACGGCTCTCATGATGCTCTCTGGATAGATGGAATTTGTGGAAAGTTCCTTACTGATTACCTAAAGGGGTGCGCTGTCTTGATTCTACAAATTTATTTTGCACCATGGATCCACACCTATTAAAAAGGTCCAGGGGAGTAATAATTGTAAGGCCATCAAGTACAATCAGGATTCATCTTGGGATCCAACAATTCAAGCAATTCGAATCCAAATTCCATAAGGATTTTACTTTTCAGGTTCATTTGCCCAGTCCAGATCAATTTGATATCTTTGGAACATCCAATTGTAGGATCATAAGATCAGGATTGGGATTCTAATAACCACAGTTGCTATTGAATTGTCCAAGTCCTAGCACATCAAATAGGTTCCAAAGTCTCAACTGGCCTCACAAGTGAACCATGAAGCAAAATAAAGCACCTTTAGACACCCTCATCACCTTCCTGTGATAATCATGTCAAATTACATTTCCATGCTATTACTGCTAAACTAAAATGTAATCATGGATGCATTATCTCTTGGTTGGAAATAGAATTTGGGAACAGGTTCGAATCTAGGATCCAGTATTCACAATCTGAGGCACTTCACAAATGCTAAATTTCCAATGCTTCCAACCAATAAATATTTGACCTTTACCAAAAAGCCAAACTATGCTAAGAAACAAAATCTTTATAAGGCATTTCTTCAAACAAATTGTGCTATCTCTCCAACTCATTGAGCCTCACGTGCATAGTAATCAAATCATTACCAATATACATATCCAAGCAAAATCCCATTTCCAATAAATAATCATGAAATATTTTTCCCATCTCACAATCCAAGTAACAGACACAGGCATTTAGAAACAGATGTATCCAATTAAGTTTCACATCTCTCTGTAAAATCTGATAGCCTTGGATAACATCCAATTATGGTTCATAGCCATTATTTTGTTACTATGTGAAACTCCACAAAAAACTGGCAAAACAGCAAAGGGGTCTTTGAATTGGGTGTGTTTGCTTATGAGGTTGCTGTGAAAAAGATAGACTGGTCGAATGTCAAATGGGATTATAAGTGAATGGACTTTGTGGAGATCTCCAGACTGACTTGGTGAAGAACGGTGATACTGTTTTTGAGAATGTGACGTTTGATTTCATAAACCTAACTTGCATAAGTTTGCTGTTTTCATGAGGTGAAACTGAGGTTTGGTCTTTATAATTTGAATGGGATGCTTAACTTCTTTACCATTGGAAATAGTGTTTGGTCAGAGTCTTAGCGGTATTCCGTGCCCTTTCAATTGGATCGTAGGTCAGGATTGTGGCTAAATAGGAAAACTTGGTGGTCAGGTTGGGGTGGTCAAAGGAAAATAGAATTTGTGTTCATTGTATCTTCGATTATTCAAATTTATATCTTCTGGTTGGGCATGTGATCATTTCCGTTGGCAAAAAATTGCTGGAAAAGTGATAAATATATGGCATATTAAAATTTTATGCCCCTTTTAGGTGCAGAAATCACTATTAGGTTACATATTGACAAACATAATTAATTAAGATGAAGAGAGAGAGTCGCACTAAATTCTCTGCATATAAAATTGCAAAGATAAAAAATTGTGTCTGATATTGATCACTGTTTGGTGCAATCCATAGGCTTAAAGGTAATCATCTTCTTCTTTAGGTCATAAGCCCACATAAAAGTTCACCTGTGCCAGGTTACCATAAATGGCAATCTCTCTAGCTGGGGCAAAACCCAAGTATATGGAAAACAAGCTAGTCCTAACAAAGGTGTTCAATGGATTCATCTTCAAGTCTCCACCCCTGAAATGCACAATAATAATAGGTATGGAACTAAAATTCAACTTAGAGTAGCACAAACTTAGCATCAATTTTGGATCCTTGACCGGTTGGGCCTTGATCGTACTTTTCACGGCCGAGACTAATCGGCTGTAGAGATCCGGTGGAAGGAGGGTCAGGGTTGAACCAGAGTCAATGACGATGTTACCAGCCTGAGCTAACTTAGAAGCATTTGATGAGGCTGAGGACATGTAAAAGTCCAGCCTTTTGTTTGCAACACTGATTCCTTCCAGTGTCAAGAAATAGAAAGCATGTGGGGATTTTGAGACTATTGGAGTTGAAACCACCCCACGCCCTGAAACCACACCACTGCCTCCAAAGTTCATTTTGCTGGCCTTGGTGTTTTGGGCAGACATTGGTACCAAGCAATAAGAAAATTTGCCTCCAATGGGAGATCCCATCTGTGAGATAAGCGAAACTTGACTACCTCCGAGGCCGACTATGCCAGCTCTAGCATTGCTAAACGGGCTGTCGTTGTCGTGTCCACAGCCAAAAATGATGTCATGGAGGGTGGTGGAACCCAATTTTACCGTTTCAGTGGCGAGATCTGCGACGGAAAGATTTGTCTCCATAACTGACCGAGCACTGGCAAGTATTCGTAGTTGGGAGGCAAGAAGTTCTTGGAAAAGATAGGCATTGTTTTGAACCACAAGGTACCACTTTATATGAAGAAGAACTGTTTGGGCTGAAGAAAGGAGGCTTCTGGTTGTAGCAACGAATACAGGGCTTGCATTGTGTCTATATATGGTCACTACCAGTATCGACAATTGCAGGAATTTGAACCGGTGGGGTCCCCATGGATATCTTCATGATATATTCTCCACCATTGGGGGTTACATTGGCTGAAGCTGATTGGGGAGAGAATGACATGAGATGATGAACACGGGAAAATGAACGTTGCAAAGCATTGTTCAGGCGTTGTGAAGGAGTTAGAGAAGGGTTGTGGAATAGAGATTTTGGCGAGTCTCGGTGTATTAGATCCACAGTGAAACCACCATTGTTAGCTTCTGTGATGGAGAATCTGGAGACAAATATGATGGCTATTGCAAGAGATATGGAGAAAAACGAGTGAAATGATAGCATGGTTCTTTGAGAGAGGGACAGGAAGTGTGCATGAGGTTGGCTTGTATGAAGATTAGAATCAGCATTTATAGTAAGAAAAGATTACTTGGGATTAACTTCAGATCTAGATTTTCTGGGGTATATCTATATAATAAAATACAAGGCATTTCAAATTTCCAAAGACATAAAAATGACTTTAGCTTTTCACGGTTCAGATAATTTTTAAATTAATCCAAAATCAATCTAATGGCTAAAAATCATTGCTGAAAATTAAGTTCCGGGCCAATATATCTCACACGTCTTTCTTTTTTGCCCTAAGTGTTGTCCACTCTCACGTGACGTCTACTGCCCTCTCACGTCTCCCACTCTCTCATTTCTACTGCACTCTCTCATGTCTCCGTCTTTGTCATGTCTCTCCTATCTACTGCTCTTCTATAATTCTTTGTCCTCCCTCTCTCGGATCTCCATCACTTGCAGCTCCTTCGATTTCATTATGAAGGATGGTGACGTGAGCCATTTTTTTAAATAAAAATTTGTACTTATTATTATTATGATTATTATTATTTAAACTGTGTACATAAATTGATATTATCCAAGGGTCGTGTTGTCATAGTGTATTTTGCCGATTTTATTTTGAATAGTGGGTCTATATTGAGTGGTGACTTTTTTTTTTGCTATACATTGCTTTCAAGTGCAATTTTTTTTTTATATAATGTCTTCAGGCATGAGCAATGACTAATAATCCATATGATGTACATTATGTGTATATGTTAGAATCAAGGATCAAAATATCGTTTCGAAATGGTCGAAACGTCCGAAACGTTTCCGTTTTTAAGGAGACCAAAACGAAACAGTGATGGAATCGAACTTCTAATATTTCGAGGTATTCCATAATATTTCAAGATGTTTTATAATATTTCAATATATTTGCACAATTATTTCATAATGTTTTAAGGTATTTCAAGATATTTTGATACATTTCAATCAATGTTTTAAAAAAATAATTTTAAAATTTTTTATTTTTTTCATAATGTTTCCGAAACAGGTCGAAACGTTTACAAAACACGTCGAAACGTTTCTGTTTCCTAAGTGACCGAAACAATACACCGAAACAAAATTTTAATCCTTGGGTTAGAGCTTATTTTTATGTTTTATATTTATATTTATGAGCATAAACTAACTTAGGGTAATATTGTATTTCTTTCAATCTCTTCCCCCCCCCCCCTTCTCTTCCTCCCTTGTTCTTTCTCTAATAAACCCTAATATCAACTTTACATTTTAACTTAGATGATTTGTTGTTATTCAATCGTCATAATGACGTGGTATTACTGTTGATGAATATTTACTCCAACTCGAGATGATATGGTGAAGAGTAAATCCTAGATATGCTTGAAAGGTTAACATAAAAAATCCTTGAATTAATGACGTTTTGACCACAATTAACAATTGCATGTATGCATTTATGATGACAAAAAGCAACACATAATTTTTCCACATAAGTATTAACAGAAACTCAAGTTAATTACTTGAATAAATGACAAATCTAAAACTCAGATTACAACTTAATGACCAATATTTAAAAAAAGAACTAATGATTTTTATTAAACACTAGATTTCAATTCATTCCACATGTCTATCACTATATTATGAAAAGTCAAAAGAAAGAAATCTTCAATTCAAAACTTATATATTGACATTGTTCATGGTCATATTTATATATCGTTGATACTATCACAGCGCCATATCATATTTAGCCCACAATTTTAGTTGAGAAATTATCGGTCTACCTCTCCACCAATTATAGGATGAAACCTTCACATTACCCATAGCTTCAACCCAAAGATGTAGCTATTTAAGGGAACCGTCAAATAACCTCTATGTAGAGAGAATACCTACGTTCTTAAGATAAGATCTCTCCTACTCATACAGTAACAGTACTAAGCTAGGCTTTGGCTTCGCAAGCTTATCGAGCAGGACCTCAGCCTTCATTCAGCCTAGACAACGCCATGTTCATTTAAGGTTACAATACTTACTTCCAAAGCTTACACCTTAATCAAGTTGGCTTCGCACATTCATAGCCATAATGGATAGTATGCAGTATGGAAAGTAATTAAAAAAAAAACTTGTGGAAGCAGGGGCTATATTTTGGTGTTTCCTGAGAAGAGAATCTCCCAAATCAATTGAGACCCAAAGCTTACATGGCAACATATTCACTACCAATATCAAAGCAAGATTCAGCACTCGATGTTTGAGAAATAAGAAACAAGTAAATAAACTATGCTTCATTTCAATCCAATCATTGTTTTTTAAGACAGCAGATAGTGATTTCAATTCCACAAGGAAAAAGCACTATTTGGTAGATTCCATATAAAATACAGATTTTTTCACAAAGTGATCTCCTCACCTTGCTCACGAGCAATAGAAGCCGAAAGGATTCCAAGATCGCGATTCAGGAATGTTAATGCAGTTTCACACTCCGAGATTATTCTCGTGACAGAAGAAGGCTCACCAGCAATTGTTTCAGATAACCCAACAGCCACTGCTGCATGCGAGTCTCGAAGATTCTTCAGGTTCCCAAGGAACTGCCAGATAGGAGAACAAAGGGATGCCTCAGCACCAAACACTCTCAAAAATACAGTACATTAGGTAAAAGTACAAAATCTAATGCTAGTATTGGTCCTATTGGATAGCGCCAACCTCCGGTGACCGCAATATTTTCCAACAGAAGCCAAGCAACAAAGACACCACTCAAAAATTTTTGGAAACCTTTGCTTGAATTGCGTTATGGTGTGCTGAACAATTATGTCTTTCAATTTAAAGCAGAAATTTTTAGTATCGCTTACTCATATCCGCTTTATTTTTGCCTCTGGATATGAGCAAATCAACAAAACATATTCATAATGAAGTTCCATAGTGTATGCCCTTTGTTGATGGCATAGTATTGATTGAGGGATCTAAATTAGGAATTAAAACTAAATTAGAAGTATTGAAAGACGCTTTGCAATCAAAATTTTTTGATAAAAGTATCAAGCAATTCAATACATCCAATACAAATTTCATCCAAGAGACCTCAGCAATACCTTCAAGAGCGTCTTGTACGCCTCCAGCAATCTGTTAGCAGCTGGCCCAAACCCATGCAATTGAGGTACCTCCATCATGTGTGTCCAGGGACGAATTTCCTGCAAATAGCAGAATTAGGAAAACATATACATGTATGTACATGTCATCACATTCATATAAGCACATTGAAAATACACACAGACGGCTAATACAAGAAGTTTCTGCGCAAAGCCTCTTAACAATTAGAGTAGTACCATAATAGCCACAAATCCACATGATCTTGCACATCAGCATATAGATCCTTTGTCTTAAACATTTTCAATTAATGATAAAGCTACATAATAATCAAGAAACCATGTGAAGTCCCACCAAATAGTATTGTTTCTTAATTCATCATACACAGAAAATACTTTGAAACTTAGTCACTAAAAGAACAGAATCTATTGATTGACTGGGTTCAGACTGAGAAGAAACTTGAGATGACAGCATATCAAGAATATAAAGTGAATGTGAGACCAGAAAACAACCTTGCTGTAAATCGTATTGAAGGATCTTGCAGTTTCTAAAAATGATTCCAGATGTACTCGCAGTTTTGCTTCCACCTCCGCATAATCTTCATCCGGATTATACGCATGCTAGATGCCAAAAACACAAAAATGAATGTCAGCCAGGCACAACATTAACGTCACAAATTTACTGTACAAAACTAATTAGGTGAAGGAAGCTGATCACGATGTTAAATAATGCTGCATTATAGAAGGCAAAGGGTGTCAGCTAACGAGTTGGGACAAACCTTCGATGCCAAATCATCAACCATCTCTTGAAGACTCAAAAGTCTATTTGATTGATCTGAAAGCTGTTTTTCCAAGTCAGATATATCTGGCCTGCAAGTGAACTTTGATTAAAGGAACATAAAGTAACTATACCTAGTGGAGAAAAGAAACTCATAATCAAATAGTATTTTTAGCATGTGAATATGAACAAAAGCTCTACCACAAAAAAAAAAAAAAATGATCAGTCTATATCTTCCATCTAATGCACAAGCAAATGATGCACGCCATTTTTATGGATATCACATATCAGTTTCAGATCATACACCAAGTATTGTCCACAAATTAAGCAAATACCATTATAAACAAAACCCAACAATTATGAGATTACCTGAGTCTATTCGACAAACGTCAGCAAGTTATAGGCATAATTGGTGGAGTCTTGTTAGTAAGTGAATTTACTGGGGGTGTTTATTTCTGCTCTAAATGTGCAGCTCTCATTATTTATCTCCTGAGGATACTCTGTCGTCTGTCCTCAAGTGGGTGTGTCTCAGATATATCTAATCCCTATATTGAATGCCAAGAAGAAAAGCCTAAATATTCTTTCCAACATCCTCCTTTCCTTTCCTAGGGTAGACTGGTGTTTATATATAACAGGGTGTTCAACATAGGCACTTAAAAAGAGGACATATGATGAGAATCTAATATACAAATATAGGGTTTAATGGAATGAGCAGGTTTTATTGCTGGTTGCATATTCAACAGAGGCGTGTCTAATACCAATCCTCAACTATTGCATGTCCAACAAAGATATGACGAACTTCAAGAGTTTAGGTTTCAAATGCACGTGTACGCATTAGAGGTCTCCCAAGTGTCATAGTAGCAAAAACAGTCCACTATGATCACTTCTTGCATGGAACTAACCGGTGTGCAAGCTTACGGTTCTCATGTAACTGAGAGATTCAGTCATCCGTCTTACTCTTGGTGTAATCCAGAATAATGTTCTCCTTCTCTCTCTCTCTCTCTGTGCGCGTGTGTGTGTGCGTGTGCGTGTGCCTGTATTTGTGCGAGAGAGACATTCCAACTTATTATTTATAAAACCCTAAACATCAACCCAGAACAAACTTTACAAACTCTATCCCTTCTCAAACTTGCCCCTTCCTGGATAGACTGAAAAAAAGTTCCTACATT